CAAATTGTATACACTCATCCATACTTATTTATATATGTAGATAAATTGCTTGTTTATTTTTGCCTTCCAATGAATCAATGTATCATTTAACCATCTAATCATTTAATCAGCAATAGGTCAAGTAGTTACTTTGATAACCTGTACGTCTAATCAACAAAATGTCACTCATTTTTCAAAGCCAGTAGATAGTTCTGGCTCCTTCGCCATCTCGAACAAGGTTTGACCGGTAAAGTATATTTCCATATCTTAAGGCATCACCCTAGGTCGCATAAGGTGATAAGGAACGGATAGTTGAATTTTCTCACAATTTTATGAGTGGTTCGTCTTATCATTTAACAAGCAGAATGGAACTCTTATTGCACCATATTTTCAGTGCAAAAAAAGTTTAAAAGGAACTATATGTCCATTACTTTGATGCATAAGAACAATAATGAATGGCAAAATAACCAATGCTTAGACCTTAATTATTTATTTTTCGTATTTAAGTAGAGTTTCGAGACTACCAGTGACTCAGTAATATGAGATGTATTCACTCTATTTGGTTTAAGGTGATGAAGGAATGGTAGTAGAATTTTTCCACAATTATATGAGTATAGCTGACGTTTCCATTGAATTTCCGCAAAACATGTTCTCAATTAATTATTTAGACTAAAAATTCTGGCTGAACTATCACGACCAGGGTTCGATTTGATGGGGTTCTAGGCAAGGGCTGAACTATGGTTCACTCTGGATGAAGATAACATTTTGGAAACAAGGCTGTTTGAAATTTGAGGTAAGCGTGAGACCAACTCATATCACTGTGCGAAAATCCAGCTATCAGTCCTTCATCACCGTATGTGAATTTAGATGACTGGAACTCTTGTTCTTGATTAAATGATAATTTAAAAAATTATTTTAAACGAATAGATTTTTTTACCGTTAGGATGGACAGGGTTACTTATATTAGAATTGAGTAGAATTTCAAGATTATCAGTAGATCGTGAGTATCAAATATCAGTCCTTCATCACCTTAGACTAGCTAGGGTGACCGAAATCCTTATTTTAGATAATCCGATAGCATCGAAAGCCTACTTTTTATGAATATGAGGATATGTTAGTTGAGCTGCTTGAGAATGACCTAAGATTGCGTCCGTGCATTAGTGATGTCCATCACTCGAAATGAAATTCCACTCCACCCTTATGTAACATGGAATTACTCGAAGACCAGTTACTCTACTTACATTATTTATTTTATTGATGAGCAAACTTTGAGACTATCAGTGGCTTCTGAAAAAGATCTTATTTTTCTGGCACCTTTTCATTCTATCCTACAGTTGAACTCTCTCTGAGAAATAAACCTATCAACTAAGTTTGCTAAAATATGCCGAAGATGGAGTCTATCCAACTAGGATGTGCTTTGCGTCAGAGACAACAATTATTAATAAACTTGGCCAAGCAAGCCTGCCTTGCTTATAATGACCTGATGTACTACCACATGTTATCATAAAAGTATTTGATTTGGCGGATAGAGAAATTGAGGAATTATGTGTTATGTTATACGTACACTTAGGTCTATTCTTGATTTTTTTCAATCTCACCATTTGGTCATGACAACTCGGCTACTCATAATCGAGTACAAAAAAACAGACGCTCTCGACTTGGCGGGGATCCCAAATATGAGGTCATAATTTCGTATAGTATTTATACCATTAATATTAATGTTCTATTAACGAATGACACATTATATGATGAATACAGTTATAAAATAGTATTACAATTAATTTGTCGACCAAATATCTTGATTTTAGGCTTCTAAATCTTTCCTTAACATTTCTTTGTAAAATTCTCCTTGACATTAATATCGACTGCGACTGTGGCGGTTAAGTTCTTCAAGTGGTTCATTGCCAAAGCAAGGAGGATGCATAACCTCAGCACTTGAAACATCTTTAGTAACGCTTAATTTTAAGACTATTCTTCAAATCATGACTTTGAATAAGAGCTCTTCCTGGCCAATTAATACTATAAGATTCTTTCATACAATAATAAATAAGCACACATCATAAATATAGTCATCAATATCCAAGCGCCTCCTGAGTTGAGGGCTGCCGGAGATAAAGGGATATGTATAACTCACCATCCCTGTCTGGTCGAGTATGTTCGTGCCAAAAGCCGATCACATGACCCAATTCGTGGATTACAATGCCACGTTTATCACAGTTTTTGCCAATCGAGATCGCCTGGGGCTCATCTTTGCTACGCCTTCCGACGTATGAGCAGCAACTGAAGTGGAAAATAGCGAAAGGTGTGAATTTCAGCATATATAAAGACGCGTATGGGTCAGTCTGTCAAACACAAAGCACTATGGAAATGAAATCAGTAAGAGATTGGATTTGAGGCTATTACCAGCCTGATTGTTGCAATTTCAAGGTATTTTGATATTGCAAAAGTGAATATCCACTGTGGGAAGACCCTAGCAGTGAATACATTAATAAACCGAAACTGGTAGACCTCCATGACGAAAAGATACTTATTATAAAGTAGGGCATGTGCGGAAATAATTTAGATGAA